TATTAATAGCACAATATAGTCTTGACAACTCCCAAAATGTGTCTGCAGGCACTTCCGCCTTGAGCCTCATGGTTTTTGGCCAGTGCTTCTAAGTCCAGCCAATATTGGCTTCTCACCCCCAGGTTGTCTAACAAAATTCACAGTCCTGCCAATATTGGCTTCCCCTTCCTTCTAGGTCCCATTGCACATCAAGTCTCCATTTCAGCCATAAGTGTTGCTGTTGTAGATGTAGCTAGAGCAAGAAGGACATCTTACCTTGTTTGGCTTTTTTTTTCCAATGGCACCAGAAGGTCTGTGTCTATGGCTAGAGCTGTTTAATTTATTGATGAGACGAACCAATCCCTTACTAGATTTTTGAGACTGGCCAATTCTCTTGTGGACTGGTAGAGAGCGAATCCCCTTGTGGACAGGCTAAATGCTCCATTTGCATGTTTCCACCCATCTTAGTAGCAAAGTCACACAATGGCTAGGAAATGTGATATTGAAAGATAAACTCCAAAGCCATCAAGTCAGAACCAAGTTATAGCTGACTCTCCAGCAGGTTATCAGAGGCACTATAGTGCATAGGTCAATGGATTGAAAGAGGACCATATCTGTTCCCATTCCAAAGGAAGGTGATCCAACTGAATGTGGAAATTATTGAACAATATCTTTGATATCATATGCAAGTAAAATATTGCTGAAGAGCATTCAAAAACGGCTGGAACCGTGCATAGATAAGGAACTGCCAGAAGTTCAAGTAGGATTTAGAGGAGGCTTTGAGACCAGGGATATCATTGCTGATGTCAATGGTAATCTAAGAGCACTTGATTATCCTCATTGGAACCTATACTTGGATCAGGAAGCTGTTGTGTGAATGAAGCAGGGGAGTACTGCATGGTAGAAACTGGGAAAGGAACCTGTCAGGGTTATATTCTCTTTCCATACCTTTTAAATCTGTATGCTGAGAAAATTATCTGAGAACTAGACTCTATGAGGAGGAGTGTGGTGTGACATAAAGTTTAGAGGGAGACTCATCTATATCCTGCCTTATGCAGATGACACAATCTTGCTTGCTGAAAGTGAGGAAGGCTTATATGGATTGTATCTCAATGTCAGGAAAACAAAGATTCTTACCACTGGACTGACCAATAGGCAGCATCATTATGGATGGAGAGGAGATAGAGACTGTTAATGGCTTCATCATTCTTCGATCCAAAATTAGCATGCTTGGTATGAGCAGCCAGGAAATAAGGAGAAAAGCACCTCCTAGCAACATGTCCAAAGTATGTGAGGTGAAGCCTCATCATTCTTGCCTCCAAAGGCCACTCTGGCTGCACCCTCTCTGTTCGTTCTCTTAGCCGTCCGTGGGATGTTCAGTGTTCTTCTCCAACACTACAGCTCAAAGGCATTATTTTGTGTCATCCTTATTCATTGTCTATGTCTTGGATGCATAGCTAGTAATCAGAAAGACTATAGCCTGAATCACACACATCTTAGTCCTCAAACTGACATTACTACTCTTCAATAATTTGGAAAAGTCCCCAACTGCAGATTTTCTCATGATTTCTTGACTGCTGGTTCCAAGGGTATTGATTAAGGATCTCAATAAAATGAAATAATTGACAACCTCAGTATATTCTCCATCTATCATGGTGTTGGATTGAAGCTCATCATCAAGAAAACAAAGATTCTCACCACTGTGCCGATTGGCAGCATCATGATAGATGGTGAAGAGATTGAGATTGTCAACAGCTTCAGTTTACTTGGCTCCTCAATCAACACTCTTATTACCAGCAGCCAGGAAATTAAAAGATGACTTGCCCTGGGAAAGCCAGTTTTCAGAGATCTCTCCAAATACTGAGGAGCCACAGTATCAGTCTTGAGACTAAGGTGCACTTGATAAAGGTCATATATTTTTTGCAATTACTTGCTATGCATTGGAAATCTGGATAGTAAGTAGGCATGATAGAAGGAGAATTGATGCCTTTGAGCTGTGCTGCTGGAAAAGAGTATTGAATACATCATGAACTGCTTGGAGAACAAACAGGTTCATCCTAGAGTAGGTAAAACCAGGCTGTTCCTTGGAGGCAAGGATTCTGAAGCTTCATCTAACATACTTTGAACATGTTGCAAGGAGGGGCCAGTCCTTGGAGAGGAACATCATACTTAGGAGGATGAAGGGACAGCGCAGGAGATGAAGACACCTGAGAAGGTGGATTGATTCAGTGACTGGGGTAATGGGGGTGAGTGTGTCAGAGATAATAAGGTTGGCACAGAATAGAGCAGGATTTAGGGCTGTTGTACATAGGGTTACTATGAGTTACAAGCAACTCAACGGCACATAACAACAACAACAACGTCATGGTGTTGCCTATTGATCCAGTGGTGAGAATGTTAATTTTCATTTTCTTGTTGAAGTGTAGCCTATATTGATGGTTGTAGTCTTTGAATTTCTATAGAAACTGTTTCAAATCTTCTTCATATTCAGCAAGCAAGATTGTTATCACCTGCATAACTCAGGTTGCTGTTCAGCCACAATTTTCTTCATGTAGTCCAACTTCTTAAATGATTTGCTCAGCATATATGTAGAACTGGAATGGAGAAAGAATACAACTTTGACACACACCTTTCCTGATTTTAAACCATGCCCTGCTCCCTTTTTCTGTTTGGACAACTGGTTCTTGTTCTAGGTATAGGTTTTGTATATGCATAATTAAGTATTCTGTAATTCGTGTACTTCTCATTATTAGCCATAATTATTTATGATCCATACCTTCAAATACCTTTACATAGTCAATAAGACACAAACATATTTCCCGTATGCTCTGCTTTTAGCCAAGATTCATCTGGCATCAGCAATGATGTTGCTGGTGCAATGACCTCCTCAAAATCCAAACTGAATTTTTGGCAGTTCTATGTTGATGTACTGTTCTAGCCATTTTTAAATAATCTTCAGGATGCTTTTATTTGCATGTGATGTTTATCATATTGATCAATAATTTTCCACATTCTGTTGAATCACCTTTTTTGAGAATGGGAATAAATATGGATGTT